AGCCTTCTGGCTAAGTGAAGGTGAAACTAGATCATTCTCGAGTTCCGTTCTCGAACACCTATTCGATACTTCTCACAGAATTGATCCTGACAAAGCCTTTCGGGTTGCCCAACGGACACTTAGTAACTAGTCTAAGGGCCTACGCAAACGAGTGCTAGCAACAGCCTATGCAATTGTTGTACGTCCAACGAATTCAGTACTCTGCTGCCAGAAAACACTAATATAGTTGCTTTCTCTTTCTTGAAAACGCTGAATTCATGTGATGATCGCATATCGTCAACCAGTCCCTGACGGCAGTTTTTCACCCCGCTCACCTGACAGTAATTTTACTTTTAGACCTCCACCTCCAAACATCGCTCACAGCCTAGCCTTCTATCTCTCTCCCCCTGTCCCACTGACCTCCACATATCGATCTCGCTATGATGGCGGTGTGAGAACTATGAGTATTAGCCACGAGACATTTAGAATCACTGGCAAACTCATATTTTTATTATCTATGTAACTGTATAGGCCCGATTATGAAGTACTGAAAATTTGTGTTTGCCGACTTGCCTTTTCAAGTTTCCCATGGCAATATTCTTAGAAAAGGGTTAATTATCAGATGATTTGGTTATGAATACACGCAAATTTGTCAGGATTACCTTTCACAAACACGAAGAGTCCACGACAGCACCAGCCAAAAGCCGAGAATAAATCCCACAAGTATTGTGCCCGGGTTAATGGTCATGAAAGTTTTGAAGATGAAGGGCGTATCGATGCTGACCTTGTTCATTGCCCCGATGCTCCTGGAGCCAGTATCAGTAAAGAGTTTTGAATGCAGAACGACCACTCGGAATACAAGGTACAGACGCAAGAACATCGGCAGAGACAGAAAGATGTCCACGGGTACAACCCGATTTGTGGGAAAGATGACATAGGGGCCGGAGTTGGCGGACGAAGGGACATGCGTGCCTAAAGTGGCATAATCAATGGAACCCTGAAGGGGCTGGCGCGCCTCCTTTAGTCCGCTCGGGCTGACAATAGAACCATTTTGACAAAACGAACCATGAGGCAGTATGGCATTACTGTGAAAAGAATAGGTCGAAGACCAGTTGAATTTAAAGTCCCCCGGAAAGGGGTGCACGGCACAGATCAGAATTTCCACAGCCAATCGGAGAACGCGTCCTCTGTCCCAGGCAATCCGCCAGTCCTCGATGCTGTCGTCAAAAGAAAGTATCTATGGGGGGGGGGTAAAAGAGGACAGGGTGGATGGTAAAGAAAGAATAAATGCAGTGCTTTTGGGGCCACCACGTCCGGAGCCCAAAAAAATAGAGCTGAAGGATGGGGGGTCACCGCGTTTTTAACAAACGATAGAAAGAGGGTTGTAACTCGTCCTTCAGGGATATTTCAACGCTTGAGACAATGGAATCCCGAAAATGGCAATCGTTATCCTTTTGTTTTATTGAAAACTGTCATCTTCTCGTTCCTGATTAATCTTTTTTGCTTTTAACCTTCTCACTAGGTTAACATTTAACGGAAAATATACAACACTTAAGGTCTGTTTTTATCAGTTATAGCGCTGTTTATACAGAGTTGCTTTTCCAGAAGACCATAGCAAATGCTGGTTTTTTATTTACGCATAAATAAGGCGATTTTGACTCAATTCAAATCCACTAGTGATTCTCAGAATCAAAATACTCTCCAAAAGTCCAGTTATTAGAGTCTAAATTAGTTAACACTAGCAAGGCATTTAACCCCTTTGAATGTTCCTCTTTGACACCGTGGTAGGTACCTACTCTCGGTGTACAACTACTGGCCATATTTCCAATAGAATTGAATATGTGAGTTCCTGGAAGTAGTTCATAAGAAGAAGAAGCGACCACTGGAACAAGAATTTTATTGTCCTGACGTTTCGGACTCCGTCGGGAATCCTTAATTATAGGTAATCGTAGAAAAGCCTGAGACATGCGCAGATAAGAATGAAACATACATAGATGGCACGGTATTTATAATTTGTAGTGGTCATCCGCATGCGTACTTTAATTGTCAGTTCCTGCAGCCACTGCTTGAATTCTTAACTGGTGCGGTGATGGCGCATTCATTGATAAAGGATTCCGACGGAATCCGAAACGTCAGGACAATAAAACTATTGTTCCAGTGGTCGCTTCTCTTTCTCCTTCTGTACTGGCCATACCTCAAATCAAGTGTCGTAAGCTGTCCAAAGACTAAGATCACAGTCTTGGAGCTGTCATTTCAAGTTTTCCTCTTTCCAACTATTAAACATTCCCACAACATTAAAGTGCCTAGCATTTTTACTCCCCCTATCCCGTTTCGGTAGACAACACCTGTGGTTGGATACATCTAAGTTTGAGGAAGTCGAGCTGACAAAGACACCGGAACGACAATTTCAAGCGTATTGGCCGTCATCAGCCAGTTATGCCCAATCCCAGGATTCGATGGCGACTAGAAGGCC